AGACCAGAATAGAAGGGTTAAAACTTTAAAACTTTATAAGCATAAATCAAATATCACTTTTGTTTTTGAAATTCATTTAATCTCTGTGTTTAGAGTAAAATCTAAACTCCTTTCCAGCTGAAACCGGTTTGGCTCAGTGGATAGAGTGTCATTCCGGTCAAGGGCATGTACCTTGGTTGCAGGCATATCCCCAGTAGGGGGTGTGCAAGAGGCAGCTGATCGATAACTCTCATCTATGTTTCTAACTCTCTATCTCTCTCCCTTCCTCTCTGTACAAAATCAATAAAATATATTTTTAAAAAATAATAATAAGCCGGGACCGGTTTGGCTCAATGGATAGAGCGTCGGCTTGGGGACTGAAGGGTCCCGGGTTCGATTCCAGTCAAGGGCATGTACCTTGGTTGCGGGCATATCCCCAGTAGGAGGTGTGCAAGAGGCAGCTGATAGATGACTCTCATCGATGTTTCTAACTCTCTATCTCTCTCCCTTCCTCTCTGTATAAAATCAATAAAATATATTTTAAAAATAATTTAATTTAAAAAATAAAATAATAATAATAATAATAATAATAATAAACTTCCTTTCCATAGACTATAAGGTCCTTAATGATCTATTAATAGTTCCTCCTCTCATTCTAAATCTCTCAACCTTTTAATTTCTTTAACATTACTGGTCAACTTTCTAACTCCCATATATGGTAAGCTGGTCCCAACCACTGAGACCCTGCATTTGTTGGCCTCTCTGTTCTTCTATCTAAAGTTCTCTTCTGCCAAAACCGGTTTGGCTCAGTGGATAGAGCATTGGCCTGCGGACTGTAAGGTCCCAGGTTTAATTCTGGTCAAAGGTATGTACCTTGGTTGTGGGCACATTCCCAGTAGGGGGTGTGCAAGAGGCAGCTGGTCGATGATTCTCTCTCATCAATGTTTCTAACTCTCTATCCCTCTTTCTTACTTCCTATAAAAATTCAATAAAATATAAAAAATAAAAAATAAATTATGTTCCCACTGGAATTCACGTGGTAATTTCCCCCCATAATTCAGTTCTTAGTTTTAATATCACTTCTTAAGGATGTTACTCACCCTTTACTTCTTTAATTTTCATCATAGGCCACATCCTTATGTAAAATATTATTTATCTATTGTTATAATGTGTTAGGATATAAACATTTATTTTTAAAAGTTTTTCTGAGGTGTGAGCTATTATTATATGAAGGCGGATTTCCACCTTAACAAGAACCAATGGAACAAGCAGAGTCTGGGTTAAAACAGAGCAAATCAAGCTTTCACATTGTGCAATAACTCTTAAAAAGCACACTTCTATACATACACATTCCACATAGAGACAGTATGCCACTAGTTTGATTACTCACTCAAGTAACTTGTATTATATTAAGACATGTTTACTATGTGTGGGGACTGCGTAAAATATTAGATTAAACTAAGATTATAAAACCTAGTTGTGCAAAGGGTTAACAGCCTTCTGCGGGAGAAGGGTTGGTAAAGGAATAATCACCGCAGTATAATAGAGCTATAACAACGATATGAATAAGGGAGAGGGAAGCAAGGGCTCATCTGCTTAATGTGATCAGGGAATGCATCCAGGAGATGAAGATATTTGTACAAAATCCTGAAGCGAGTGTTTGAAAGCTTGCCAAGGCGAAGAAGGCACTGGAGCCAGAAGGAAGATTTGTGGGGATCAAAAGGAATTTCATTTTACAGGGAACTGGGAGAAGCCAGACACACATAGAGCACAGATGTGTACAAGTTAAAAAAAGACAGTGTACGCAAAGTGTAGAAAGGCTATTTGGCAACACTGTTAGTAACTTGATGATGGACTGCAATTCTTTATTGTGCAATTCTTTATTTAGCAAGACTCTTGCTAGCAGCAATCTCCAGTCATGACAAACGAAAAGTATCCAAGCTGGTCGCCAGTCATCCAGCCTCTTGCTATTCACACCCTCGTATAATCTCCTCCTACATTACACAAGAGTTTGTCTGTGTGACCAACAGCATAAAACAGAAATGGTAATTTGCCATTTAGAGACTGCATTATAAAATATTCTGGAGTCCCTTGGTCTCTCTCTCTCTCTCTCTCTCTCTCTCTCTCTCTCTCTCTCTCTCTCTCTCTCTCTCTCTCTCTCTCACAGACACACACACACACACACACACACACACACACACACACACACACACACACACCCTCAACCACTCATGTCACTCTAGGCTCTAGGAAATGCAAGGGGTCTGGAACTAAAGGCTCCTGCCAACAGCCAGATTCTCCTGCCCATGAACCAGATTCTCCTGCTCATTCTGATGACAGTTAATTCTGACCAATAGCCTGGCTGTTCTCATTAGAGCCAGAACCACTAGCTAACCATTCTGATTCCTGATCCACAGAAGTTCATGTGAGACAACGAACAAACAAACATGTTGTTTTAAGCTGCTAAATTAGGCTATATACTACTTGTCAGACAGTAGTATATAGCAATACACTACTCACTTCCAAATGCCCCCTAGGGGAGTAGTGCAGATACCAAGTGAAACCAAAGGTCTATGCTAAGGGCTCTGGACTTTCCCCTAGAGGAGGTGGGGAGTTGGGGATACATTTTAAGCAAGAGATGTTGATTTATGTTTTAGAATGACTCCCTTTGCCTTGAACACAGTGTCTTCCATTCCATTCTTTGGTCCTTGGCTACTGCATTTTCACCTACCTCTTAAAAGGCTTAACAAACTACATGGTAATTGTCTATTTGTTTTACTCCTGCCTAGATCTTGAGCTTCCTGCAAACAGAGTTGGTTCTTAGTTGATTATTAACCATCTTTTGTGTCCCTGGAAACCTGCCTGATGAGCATGTTGAGAAGCACTTAGTATTTACTTGTGATTAATTGAATGATGGAGGGTAGGTAAACCTGCAGAAAGGGAGTTGGGTTAGCAGGCTATTATATTAATTCACGGGAGAAGTGATAAAGAAATGTATTTTAGAGGTTGTAAAGAATAAGAAATTAGTCATTTAACATAAACACACACACACACACACACACATTTACAGTAAGTTTTGCAGGTGTAATCTTCTATCAAAATACCTAAACCTTTGTACTATTTGTGTTGTTATAGCTCTTAAGCAGAGATAAAATGAGGAGATACCAGTAGCTAAAATAGAAGAGCTTAGTAATATTACTTGAAGTTTGTTGTTATAAAACAACAATACAAAAAAGGATGAAAAATGAAATTAAATAGCCAATACATTTTTGTGCTTTTTCAATTGTGATGAGTTGATTTGCTAGTATACCAGGCTGATACAAGTTTCAGTGGGAATAAGCAATATAATGTTTTACATAAGTAGACTCTATATCCACATAGAGTTATACTTATAAGTACATTAGAGGCAAGAAATTTGTGCGAGAGTAGGCCTTCCTTCCCCAGGCTGCCAGCACTGACTTCCCTCTGGCTCCCGGGACCCGGGCTTCCCTCACAGCCCAACTTCATCTGGAAGGTTGTCTGTTCTAATTAGCACATTGTGTTTTATTATGATAGGAGCTATAAAGAAAGAAGCCTTATATTCACATCAAGATAAAGGAGAATCTGAATGAAACAAAAAGAAAGTTCAAGCAAATAACAAAGAGATGTCAATTAGAATTGCCTTATACTAAAAATTCTGAATACATTCTAAAGCACTGGATAAATTGTACAAAAATCCCCTTTAAAGTAAATATCCCAAGCAAGTGTAAATTTGTTTTTGTTCAAATATAAAATCAGTTAGGAAATGCTATCAACAGATAAAACAGAAAGGTACCACAGGAGTCATCTAAGCATCTCATCATTCAAAATAATGGTTGCAAAAAGGTGTTAAAATAACCAATACATATTCCATGCTTTTCTCTCTCTCTCTCTCCCTCTCTCTCTCTCTCTCTCTCTCTCTCTCTCTCTCTCTCTCTCTCTCTCTCTTTCTCTCTCTCTCTCTCTCCCTCTTTTATCTTCAGTGCTTGAAATAAATAAATGAGACACCTGGCTTCATGATCTACCTAAAGTCTTGTCTTTATCTCTATATTTCATTCCATTTTACACTAGTACTTCAGTTGAGGTCATTGTTTTGTCTTACAACCCCAAAATTAATAACCACTTCCTTGTTACATAAGAGTAGCTCTTATTTTGGCAAACTGGCCTTGAGTTTCATTTTCTAGTTTAATTTTATATCCTCCCACCACACACACACACACACACACACACACACACACACACGCACAACTGGCAACTTAATGTGATGTTAACAATCAATTACACTTTATGAAAAATATTATTATAAAGGATATTTTTCCTTTTCATTGTTTTTCCCTAACAAAATCATTTGCTATACTTAAAGTTTTTCAGGTGTAATCCTCTGTTATTATAAATATTTAAATGCCACATGTTGGTTTTAGTTTAGAAATATGAAAGAGAAAAGGGGGAATTTCTTAGGAATTATCTATGCAGAATAATTAAAGTGATCTCTCAAGGATTTGTATGATCTGATTAAAATATTAGTAATTTATTGGATTTTTTTTTCATCACAACTGTAATGATGAGATATTTTTTCCTCAATTGCTAAGCAGATGAAGAGATAAAAAAACCAAGAATTTGAAAACATGATTGGAAATCTTTGCCTAGGTTGTTCCTGTCCAGTTTTCTTTTTCCTTGCAAAATAGAATCAACTAAATACTTTTTGTTAGCTAGAAATAAATTTTGGTTACATTTTTTAAAATCAGAAATAACAATAAACCTGATGGATGAATCCCATACCTTATTTTATTTGGTTGTTAGAATAAACTGGAGTTGTACAGAGTCTTCCCTTCGATTGGAATGTTATTCATTTCATTAAAACAATTTTTTATACACATGCAATTCAATTTATTTACTTTACATCTTATAATTCTAAAGGCTTAACTTGTTTGTTGTTATAACAGCTTCAAAACATCACTTGTTCTAACCCATCAGATGATGCAACATAATTTGGCCCTTTCTTGTAGCTGGAACTCAGTCCTTTGTTTCATTCCAGTGATTTCTGGGACTCTCTTGGATTTCAGTGCCTCCTGCTTAGCTATGGTATGTTGTGTTTATAACTTGCTATACATGACTTCACAGTCCTCCTTTCTCTTCAACATATAAACCATGTTGAAAGGATATTCTTATATTCAGCATACTTATTATTATAGTTCTTATTTCTGGAGGGCCAGACAACTTGGGGATAAAGAGAGCTCTCCAGACAACCTACCCTATTTCCCCCAAAATAAGACAGTGTCTTATATTAAATTTTACTCCCAAAGATGTGCTAGGTCTTATTTTCAGGGGATGTCTTATTTTTCCATGAAGAAGAATATGGTACACATTTATTGTTAAATGAAAATAAAGGAAATTTATTACCTGTATACAGTACTGTAGTTGTCAACACAAACTAAATAAACTGTGAATCCTACAGTATCAAGAATTTACTCATTTATTCAATGACAATCATGTCTTCATCTTCAGGAACATCATCATAACAATCCAATTCCTGAATTTCCTGGTGAATTTCTTGTGACTCCATTTCTTTCAGAATCAGTGGGCCACATCTCTCATCTTTAGCAATAGCATTCTGAGACAGAGCCTAGGGGGGCCTTATTCTCGGGGGGGGGGGGGTGGCTTATGTGTCACTCAGAAGGAAACCTGTAAGTAGGTCTTATTTTAGGAGGATGTTTTATTTTTGGGGAAACACGGTAGTTGCTTTGTAAGCTTCATGATAAAACCTTTCTTTAGAACTCAGACTACTGACTTCTTCAAAGGGCCACTCCTCCCCATACTCTTCCTCTTCCACCTCACTGTCACTTGAATCATCTGGATTGGAAGAACAATGTTTCCAGACAGCATTTTTCTTCAAAAATGCTGTCTTAGCATTTAAAAATATGGTTCAGGCCTGGTTACCTGCGTTGAATATTTGATTCCTGGACTTTTTCCTTGATCTGTTTGTTGCACAGTGATGGCTCTTCATTTACCAAGGGCATTTGCTCAGGGGATTTTTCAAGCTCTGCCTCTGGCACCAGCTATGATCACACTGGGTGCCTTCTTCAACTTCATTAAACTGGGTCAACTGGGCGGCCCACTTCCTCTTCATACACTTTCCCAGGGAATAGTCTTCACTGTCACAAGGGTTATCAAGTACACTCCTACTTCCACATGAACTCTGTTGTGAAATTCCATTGTGCTGCACCTGCTGAAGTTCAGTTTGAGACCCTTGGGTTCTGATCTTTCTCCATAGGCACTACAGTCCCAGATCACAATACATAGGATATAGGTCTTCAGTGAGGTGTAGTGGGCCATGGGGATTGAGATACTGGGAAGGCCCGGTACTCATTGGGAACCAGTAAACATGGAAAATACAGATTTATATTTCTGACTCTTGCCCTAGGAAATGAGAATGGCTTATAGGCAGGATTCTGGTACCAGAAACTTGGGGAAGGCTGCTGGGCCATGCAATAAAGAGATCTGGAGTTATTTTCCTCAGAATGTGCATTTTCTTCTCACAGTTCGTTTTCTAAGCTCTTCTAGTTTGAAATCTGCAACTGGGAGTGCCTACAGTGGCACAGCAACTGTACTTTAGAAGTTTTAAAAATATGTTTTAGACTATGAACATCAGCATAGTTCCCAAAAACCCTTTGCTAAATCGGGATGTTTCTGAAGCCTCAAATTTCAGCTCAGCTTGCCTTTGCTGCAGAGATAAAATACTTTGTGCAAACACTTCCATGTTTACTTGACAAACTTTCACACTAACCAAGAAATTGGGTATATAGGAACATTCTTTTTTTTTTTGTCATAAGCAAAAATCTCAATAGCTCTAATATTTACCTACTTACCCAAAGTCAGACATTTGACTTTTCACAAATTTATGTGAAAATATGAATTATATGGCTAGCACAGCACATGAACAGGGAAATCTACCATTCTCTTTAAATTGTGTTTGCTTTAAAAACTTTTCCTCTCTGGCAAGTTTTGCTTGTACTAGGGAGGGCAAAATGTAGCCAAAAATTGTAAAGTGGAGTAAATGACTTGTAAAATTTCTGTGTCTTTTTTTCCCTTTCAATTCTAACTTTGCTCTGCTTTCCTTCTGTTTTATTATTAGCATTTTTAACATCTTTCTTTTAGGCATTACTAAGTATTCTGACTTCAGGTTCCTCTATTCTTCTCATTTTTTATAAAGCAGACTTTATATGCTATACTCTAATTTTTTCTGCACCCTCTCCATAATTATGCTTTCTCTATGTACTAGAAAGCTCTTCTTGGATAATCTGATTAATTCATCTTTGTTTAAAGCAGTGGTTCTCAACCTTTCTAATGCTACAAGCCTTTAATACAGTTCCTCATGTTGTGGTGACCCTAATCATAAAATTATTTTCATTGCTACTTTATAACTGTAATTTTGCTACTGTTAATGAATTGTAATGTAAATATTTGTGTTTTTGATGGTCTTAGGCAACCCTGCTAGTGGTTCTCAACGGCTGCTGTAGATAATTTCTAAATTAAAATAATTTCTTTAAAAAATATCTGATTGTACAATTTTAAGTATGGTAATAAAGAATGAGCTTTTTGGTTTTATTTTTTTGGATTGATTGGTTATTCACAGGCTTTGCTGCTGTCCTAAATTAGTTTGATTTGCTACTACCAGATGTTAAACACATATCTAAACTTAAGAATACAGTTACTAAAATTACAGTGTAGGAATTAATATTTTATTTTAATTTTTGTTAATTATCACTGAGGATATTTTTTTCATTGTTCTTTTTTTTTAATTAATAAATCTTTACTGTTCAGACTATTACAATTGTTCCTTCCCCCACCCCCCCATAGCTTCACTCCACCCAGTTCCCATCCCACCATCTGCCCTTACCTCCCACACACTGTCCTAATCCATGAGTGAACAATTTTTGTCCAGTTTCTTCTCGCACCCCACATCCCTTCCCCCGAGAAATGTCAGTAAACTTCCTTTCTATGCCCCTGATTCTATTATATTCACCAGTTTATTCTGTTCATTAGATTTTTTTTATTCACTTTATTTTTAGGTTTACTCGTTGATAGATATGTATTTGTTGTTCATAATTTTTATCTTTACCTTTTTCTTTTTCCCCCCCTCTTCTTAAAGAATACCCTTTAGCCTTTCATATAATACTGGTTTGGTGGTGATGAACTCCTTTAGCTTTTTCTTATTTGTAAAGCTCTTTATCTGCCCTTCAATTCTGAATGACAGCTTTGCTGGGTAGAGTAATCTTAATTGTAGGTTCTTGCTATTCGTCACTTTGAATATTTTTTGCCACTCCCATCTGGCCTGCATAGTTTTTGTTGAGAAATTAGCTGACAATCGTATGAGTGCTCCCCTGTAGGTAACTAACTGTTTTTCTCTTGCTGCTTTTAATATTCTCTCTTTGTCTTCTGCTCTTAGCATTTTAATTATGATGTGTCTTGGTGTGGTCCTCTTTGGATCCCTTTTGTTTGGGGATCTCTGCGCTTCTTGGATTTGTAAGTCTATTTCTTTCACCAGATGGGAAAAGTTTTCAGTCATTATTTCCTCAAATAGGTTTTCAGTATCTTGCTCTCTTTCTTCTTCTGGCACCCCCCATAATTCTAATGTTGGTATGCTTGAAGTTGTCCTAAAGGCTCCTTACACTTATCTTCATATTTTTTTATTCTTTTTGCTTCTTCTGATTGAGTGTTTTTTGCTTCTTTGTATTTCAAATTTTTTACTTGATTCTTGCAATCCTCTAGTCTGCTATTAGATCTCTGTACAATATTTTTTATTTCAGTCAGTGTATGCTTAATTTCTAGTTGTTCCTTTTTTCATATCCTTGGGGGTCTCACTAAATTTATCAGCCTTTTCTAGAAAATTATTGAAAAACCTTTTAACTGCTGTTTTGAACTCTATATCCAATTGTTTACTTTCTTCCATTTCTTTTATTTGTTACCTGTTTCTTTGTCTCCACATTTTTGCTGCTGAGATAATAGAGTGGCTTTGTGTGCTAGGTGTCCTAGCAAGGCCCAGTGACTCAGCCTCCCAGTTATCTGAGGTAGACATTCTTGGTCCACCCCTTTGTGGGCTGTGTGCACAGTCTTATTGTAGTTAAGCCTTGATTGTTGTTGGTATCACTGAGGGGAGTTCACCTCCAGGCCAATTAGCTGTGAGAATCAGCTGTGTCTATGCTAGGAGAACTTCTGTGCTGGAAACACCCTTATGAGACAAGACTTGCAAAAGCCTCTGTGCTCAGCTTGGATGGAGTGGAGTCACAGGGTGGAGCAGACAGCAATGGTTATGGTTTCCCATCAGCCCTGCTCTAATAGGCCCCTGTATCTCAGTGTCCCATGGTAATCACTGCAAGCACCTCTGAGAGAAAGCTGCCATTGAGTTCTGCCTGCTGCCAGATAGTCCACTTTCTCCCTGAATGAGTCTGGGTCCCCAGACTTTCAACTGGAACTGGAGTTCAGCACAGTCAGAAACTTTAGTCTCTCTCCCGCTTGAGAAAGCCAGCCACACACTCAGTTGCCAGGCTTCTCTATGCGTGTTCCAGTACCTCTGCCTCCTGCAGCTCCTCCTCTGAGTCTCAGTGTGCTTTTCTCTTTCCATCTAGTTGTAGAATTTTCACTCAGCTAGCCTTCCTGTGGTTCTGGATGATGTCCGTTTTGCCTTTTAGTTGTAGTTTTGAAATTGTTGTACAAGGCAACAGTTTAAGTGTTTAACTATGATGTCATCTTAGTTTTCCCTCTCCATTGCTCTTTATTTATTTATTTATTTATTTATTTATATTTATTTATTTATTTATTTATTTTGCTTTAAAATGAAGCTTTTATACACAGTTATACATATATGTACAAGCAGCTCTGAAGACCAGACAAATAACTCACATTTTGGAACCTTGGAGGCTCTACAAATTACACTGGGTTTCAACTAGTCATTAAACCTTAGGTAACAGCATCTAGAGCCTTGGCCTTAGAAAGAAGAAAAAACAAAACAAAACAAAACAAAAAAAAAACCAGTGGCAAAACACGACACTCCTGGACTGTGGGAAATAAAATTGTGGGAGGGACATGATTGGAAGGAAACCACTAAAATTCCACTCATTCCAGGTTCCTCAAATTGGTACCAATGGCAGCCACCTCTGGGTCGGTCACCTGTCCTCTCATAAAAGCTTGACGGAGAAGGAAGAGCAGCCTTTCTCGGCCTGAGGGTTGTTCAGCACTTGAAATGAGCTCCGGATCAGCTCTTGGCAGAAGTCCACATGGGCCCCTTTCACGAAGGCCAAGCTATCAGAGTCAACCACCACTCATGCCCCTCCCTGTTCAAATACCCTGTCATCGGGGTTGATCCCTGTATCCAGTGAAAATCTGTACTGGAATCCGGAGCATCCACCTCCCTCCACCTCCAGCCTGAGGAATTCTGCCCCTTGGGTGATTTCCAGGAGCCTCTGGAAGCAGCTGTTGGTGAGGTGGATCTGCCCTTCGCCAGCCTCGGGGTCGGTGGATGCCGCGAAGAACCTGCTCCTCCACCAGGGGGTGGCCTCTCGCAGGGCCGCCGCCTTTAGGGACAAGCCCCTGGGGGCCGCCATCTTCCTCTCCATTGCTCTTTAGAGAGAGTGGAAGGGAGGGAGGGAAAGGGTGAGGGCTGTGGGGGTATAGTGAGAGAAAAATATTAGTGTGAGAATGATATATGCATTGGTCACCTCCCGCATACACCCAGACTGGGGGCCAGAGATCAAACCTGTAACCCAGGTACATGCCCTTTACCGGGAATAAAAACTGAGACCCTTCAGTGTATTGGGCTGACACTCTAACCACTGAGCAATACCTGCCAGGGCAGTGTAGGGAATTAATGTATTTCCCAAGTTTCCCCACTTATTAGATACTAGGATTCAAATTGAGACTCAATTGAGATTCATATGCTTAGTGATCAGTCTGACCAAATGACAGAATGACCAAAATGACTGATCAACCACTAGCTATGATGAGCACTGAGTACCAGGGAGCAGTCACTCAATGCAGGAGCTTCCCCCTGGTGGTCAGTGTGCTCCCATGGTATGAATACTACTCAGCTGACCATGATGAGTGGCTGCTCCTGCAGCAGGCCAATCCTCACAGGCCACTCCCCACCCCCACCAGTGCACAAATTCCATTCACTGGCCTTTAGTCTTAATATAAAGGCCAATGATCTACCCTTAGGCCCTGGACTGCATTTGACACTATTTCAGATTTCCTTTTCTAGCTCCAGTAAATATTTTTATTGCTACTGTCCACTCCTGCTCCACCCGTACACTACATCCTAGCCTTTGTTGGACTGTGCCTTCACTCATGCTCTCTCCTTGACCTGTAATGGAACTTACATTAATAGTCTATTCTGTACAATTACTCAAAACAAGACAATGGACAGTTGACACCCCCCCCCCCACTCCCACCCCATCTGTGGTTTCACTTTCTGCAGTCTGTTACCCATGGTCAACCGTAGCCAAAGAACTATTATTTGGGAAATTACATAAATGAACAATTCATAGCTTTTCCATTATGAGCTGTTTTGATGAACTTTCACACTGTCCCAGCTCCATCCTGCCTGGAATATGCATCATCTCTTTGTCCAGAGTATCCAAGCTGTACACATGCTTCCTGCCTGTCACTCATTCACTTGCCATCTTGGTTATCAGGATTGTCTTGATATTGTGGTGCTTGTGTTCAAGTAACCTTCACTTTATTTAATAATGGCTCCAAAGTAGAAGAGCAGTGATTCTGGCAATTTGAAGAGAAGCTAGAAAAGTGCTTCCTTTAAGTGAAAAGGCATGTATGTATAGCAAAAATATCACATATATAGGTTTCAGTACTATCTAAGTTTTCAGGCATCACCTGTAGACTATTGTACTGTTGAGCCCAGAGAAGATGGTTTCATCTGTCTATGTGGGGGTCTACCTTCACCTTACACAATCTTTTAATTAATCCTTTAGTTTTTAACCCCTTTAACCTCCAGTTTGAACCTTGACAGGAACCCCAGGCCTCCAAACCATGAGAAAATCGTTTTCTCCTATAAAAGCAGTTAAATTCAGCACTCAACCCTCCTTTTAAGTCGTAGACAAAAAAATCCACCTTTCTTTTCCATTCTCCCATTTGGTTTATTCTCTTCTGTTCTCTCTCTCTCTCTCTCTTTGTGTGTGTGTGTGTGTGTGTGTGTGTGTGTTTTAATCCTTTTTCAGTAGGGTCTCTAGATGAAGAAAAACACATCTGGGCATTCAATTTGTCATATTTTATTGGAAGTCTAATTTTAAAAAATATATTCTATTGATTTTTTACAGAGAGGAAGGGAGAGGGATAGAAAGTCAGAAACATTGAAGAGAGAGACATTGATCAGTCACCTCCTGTACATCCCCCACTGGGGATCTGACCACAACCAAAGTACATGCCCTTGACCTGAATCAAACCTGGGGTCCTTCAGTCCCCAAGCAGATGCTCTATCCCACATGTGTCAAACACAAGGCCCGCGGGCCAAATCCGTCCCGCCAGGCCTTGCAATGTGGCCCACACCGCGCTGTCATCACTGCACTCCGCTGCGTTTCCATCACAATGACAGTTTATGACTGTTCAGTAAACCATTCGGCCGGCGATTTAGGCTGGATTTTAGATTTTGGCCCCTTCTCTGATTGAGTTCGACACCCCTACTCCACTGAGCCAAACTGGTTTTGGCTGGAAGTCTAATTTTTTAAGATAAAAAGAAAATTAGCCTGATGGTAAAATCCTGGACTTTAGAATCAGATTCCCCATCTTACCAAAGTCAGGGACCTCAGAGGAAATGGTTGTGTTTGTGTAGTGTGCTGGGGTAAGGTCAGAACTGAAGCTGACGGTCCCTGTGCAAGCCCTCCACCTTGAGACAAGGGTGGTCCATCTCAGGGCACACATGCCTCACTAGGTGGTTGGGTTGCTCTGAGCATCAGCAAGGTTTGACTCCTGTTTGGTTTGGTAGCTGCATGGCCTTGAGCAGGTTAACCTCTATTTGTAAAAGTGGGGGTGGGGGTTATAATTCCCACTTCTTAGTGCTCCTTTGAGAATTGGAGAGGCTAACATATTTGAAAGTGGGAATGCCCTATATACACACAGTAGGTCAACGATTGTCTGCATCCTTTCTTCACAGCTCCTCCAATCAACCTTACCTCACTGTGCAGGTGCTCACATACACGTATTTGTTAAGCAAATGCTAACGTGGACACCACTGTAATACAACAGAGAATACTTTGGGGCCAGGGGATCTTGTATGCCAGAGAGCAGCATTAAGCAACTGAGCAGAGGAAAGAAGGGAGCCAGGAGGTTAAATAGCTTTGATTCAAATGGTGACAAATGTCTTCATTATTGGAAATCATTTTGATTTGAGGCCAATAGAAGGAATAAAGCACTCTGCAGGAGTCAGGGAAGTCTAGTGCCTTCTTTCTCAGCTGAAAGGAAATAGCCCAGGTGGCTAGAGATTCTTGTTTGTGTGCTTTGCAATAGATTTATCTCTGTTCTGCTTAACCCTTATCTTTTCCTGCAGAATAATCTGTTTACAACTTCTCAGGTTTACAATCCTTCCTAGGGCCAGGGCATTCCACTATTTCTCACCTCAGATTTGGAAATGCACATCTTTCATTTAAAACAGAAAATATTACCACTCCAAAATGGAACTTGCTTGGCAAACTCCTAAGGCAAATGAGATCGCACATGAATTTCACTAACATGTGAAAAAATAAAACAGGAAAGGAGCTTGAAGAATGGTGAACCCAGATACTAATTCTTATCGCCTTTCTCTTTTAATTGTCTTCAGCTTCTTCTTTCCTCACATCTTCATTCCCCGCCCCGCACCCCCCCCCCCCCCCCCCCTTCGCCCAATCAATAAAAGGCCCACAGAAACTCCAAAGAGACAAATTGTTAGGGAGGAAATGTAACAAGTCCATTCTTTTCTTTTGCTTCTAGTCGGTTGGGAAGTCCAGCCAGCCAGCAAGTGAAGCCCTTATCTCATGGGGTTATCTACCCAGGGGCCAGTCTTTGATCCCCAGAAAGCATTTCCCAATTCTGACCACAAAACCTCTCACCACTCCTCCTCCTCCCTCAGCTGCCAGGAAATCCTGGAGCAGTCTTTGCCCCGGAGCCGCTGGTGTTTTTAATAAGCAGGGGTTGAGTTGAGTTGAAACTACACATCAATTAAACGCACACTTCAGGGGCCTCGCCGCACACCCCGGGGTGCTGGCATCCGCTGAGGCCCAAGGGCCAGGCCGCCTTCACCCCCAGCTGGCTCTCCAGAGATTTGCCCGGGGAGGTGATCACACTCGCTTTTGCCTGAGAACTGAGTGAGATGGGCCCGTAGGCTTCACCCCGGGGCTGTGTGTGAGGGAAGGGAGGCCGTGCTGCAGCTTGAGGGCGCTCTTCCTGGGGACCTCGAGGTGGGCAGTGCACGGATCGGTTGGATTTCTTGCAGGACCTCCCTCACCGCGTGCAGAGCAATGGGACGCCTCCCCCTCCCCCCTCCTGCCTCCCTCTCCCCCAACTCCAGCCTGTTGCTTCCTCTGCGGCTCCAGGTCGGTTTTTCCCGGCGACTCTAGTGTGACTTCCAAACTCCGAGGCTGCGACTCGCCCCGCAATTAGCGCCCGCCTCCCGCCTGCTGCCCGCGCGCCCCTGGAAGCCTCCTGCACCCCAACCCAACCGCCGCCCGAGGGGTGCGCTCCGGGGGCCGCCGATCGCAGGTCCTGCAGGCGGTGGGGGGCCGCTGGCGGCGATGAAGCCGTCCTGGCTGCAGTGCCGGAAAGTCACGGGCGCCGGGGGGCTCGGGGGCCCCCTGCCCGGGCCCCCCCAGGCCAGGGGAGCCGGCCCGGCCCGCAGGGCCTACGTGGCCCCGGGCCCGCGGGGCGCGCTCGGGGGCCGCGGCTGCCGCGCTCTGTCCGTGGGCGGCGGCGGCGAGTACCGGACCCACTTCGCGGCCTCGGTGGCCGACCCCGAGCGGTTCTGGGGCAAAGCCGCGGAGCAGATCAGCTGGTACAGGCCCTGGACCAAGACGCTGGAGAACAGGCACCCTTCCACCAGCTGGTGAGTGACCCCTCCGCCCGCCCTCCCCGTCCCCGGCCTCGACGCCCCCTGCTCGCGAGGGAGCCCGGGGTTCCATGGGGAATGGGAATGGAGACTGCAGATGTCAGTGTGTGTTTCAGTTCAGTTTCACAGCTTTTCTTGCCTTCTCTTGAGGAAGTCGGGAGCCCAGTTTCCCGTAGGCTGATGTACCTGGATTGCAGGGCTCTGCGCGGCCCTGGGATGTTAAACTGATGAAATCGAGGGCCTGTCTCCAGGAACAGCACAGCCCAACGTGGGAAGAAGCCCTGTAAACAAATGCAAGCACTCTATTAAACCAGGGAAATATGGCCCAGAGGCCTTGGGGAAGAAGGGGATAGAGGAAAGACTTCAGTAAGTTCACACCCAAGTAGGGTTGGGGTGGGTGAGTGTGTCTTCTCAAAGTACTCAAGTACCTAAGTCTTTGAGACCGGGAGCTGGAAATCCGGTTGGAATTTGATTGTTTCTGATTGTGTTTTAACCGGAGAGGTGGGAGAGGGGCTGTCCATCATGGCTGGGCCCGGAAGGGTTTTTATATGTCATGGTAAGGAGCTCCAAGGCCCTGTTCTGTGTAGAAGCCGGAGTATGAGAATGCCCAGAAAGAATGCACACAGTGGTGCTAGAAACCACGGTAGGAGCAAAGGCTTTTCTTCTAGAGCAGCAATTATAAGTAGCTAGAAACACTTTTTATATTACAACAGTCAGAGATCCATGACAGCAACTTGCTAGAACAGTAAGGGTGAGACACAGTCCGTGAGAAAGAACTCAGAGTTGTGGCTACTTTTTGGGACACGCGCTTCACAGGTATGACTGTGGTTGCTCGCTCTCATCTGCCAGCCATCAGGGAGCAATGTTTCCTGAGAAAGTTTTAGAAGCACTGCAAGAAGCTTTCCCACTCCCGAGTTCCCAGCAGTGAGATGGTCAGGTTTGCATCTGACAAACGTCCCCTGTTGAAGGCAGGGAACTTGGAGCGGGGAAGGGTAGATGGACCAGAGCTGATCTGTGTTGCCACCCTCCCCTGCCCTGTCCTGTTTGAAAATGTTGGCATGGTTTTCCCTTGAGAATCTGAGGGCCTTTCCCCTCCCACTTCTTATTTTGACAGCAGTGTTTGACTCATCCTCTTTACATGCCTGGCAATGACCCAAGTACTAGGCATACACCAATGAGTAATATATGGCCCCTGGTTTTTGGGAATCATGATGATTGAGAGCTGGAACCAGAATATTGGGCTGGAGTCCTGGCTTTTGCAGTTACTGGTTGTGTGTTCACAGGCATGTTACTTAATCTTTCTGTGCTTCAGTTTTCATATATATATATATACAATATATATATATATTGTATATATATATATATGTAGAAGTAATATAAAGATTAATTAAATAAAGAAGTAAGACCACAGCTTGAATGAAATAGGCCCTGTAAATGTTAAAGGAAGAATATGTATAATATTTTGCACTCTCATACCACAATTATTTTAGGAGCAGGAAACCCTCGTAGTGTTTCTTAGAAAAAACACAGATTATTTCCTCTCCCAAGGGTGTGTTCTCAAAGTTCTCTGCCCACATGTCTGTCATCAAGTATGGTACTGAAATGACTTATGTGACTATCTCTTCCAATACACTGTGCAAAGAACTCAAGAAGTCACTGGGCTAGTCCAAACTAAAAACGATGGCCAAACATAAGGCAGTGGCCAAGTATACATGGAGGAGAAAGGATAACAACTGAATGATGTTATTTAGTCAAATATTATTCTAACAATACTATTCAGTCAAACACTACTGGAAAGAATAGAATCTTGAGGAAATCTTTAAAATGGGTTCAAAATGAATAATAAGGATTAGAAGTGAGAAGAGGTTCGGAAGATCATTCCAGACAATGAAAACAGCATTTGCAAAGGTCTTGAATTGTACGGTAGCTCAGTAAGTTCTATAAACTGAAAGCAGGCCATTATGGCTGAAGCTTAAGGAATGACAGGAAAATTATCAAGAAATGGAAGAAGAGAACATATTTTGAGTGGTCTTAGAAGTCGTGCTAAGGATTTGAACATTTTTTTCCTCCCACATAACACATGCCATACGACATGTTTAAAACATGAGTGTCCTACTCTTTTTGCACTGGAACAAGACAGCTGTTAGTTCAACCCTGCTACCAGACTAAATGGGTCTATTTGGGCACATTTAAGTGCAATCAAACACATGAGGAGTTTGCAGCCAAGAAAGTATTAGTTGAGAAAATGGTGCCAAGCTTGGAGTCTCAGGTAAACTAACTTTCAAAAGTCTGGCTTCCCAGTGGCTTCCAGGGCATGGGTGAGATAGGGGGAAGTCATTAATTGTGGAGGTTAAAGGAGTTGGGATCCTGGGTTCTTCTGATGGGTTGGGATCAGGAAAGGGAGGAGATGATCTTTGTATCAGGTGCTGATGTCAGCCAGAGCTCTGTTCTGCCTGGTTTCCTGAGGTGGTGGGCCAGATAGGGGAGAGTCTTTCTGCTTTCATGGGCCTGGGACTGAAACTCAATGAAGACTAGATGCTATATCTTTACTGTGAAGGAAACTCTGTTTTGTGGTCAACAGACCTGAGGTTTTGTTCTTAAGACACATTGATAATGAACACAATCTGAAGTCCTAAGGACTTAATGATTAAGGAAGGGAGTGGACTCTGACAGACAGAGAAAAGTCCAAAGGAGAAAGGACCACGTTAAAGAAATGGAGTTTCTGTGTAGTTACAACCCCTGCTCTGCCACTTACCTTGAACTATCTTCAGTATTTTCATGATGTTAGTATCAATTTCTTAGGATTGTATGTGGGGGAGGGAACTTATGAAATGTCCAGGACAGTGCCTGGCACACAGTACTAGGTATTCATGTTTCTAGACTATGGGAGAGATAGTCTCATAAACTAATGTGGTTCAGGAAGTTTTCAGAGTAATGGTAGCTTTTGAACTGATCATAAAGTGGGACTTAGGAAAAAAGAAAAACTTTTTTTTTTTCTTTAATGTGGGGAACAAACATGGCAAAGGCATGGAGATATGAAAGAACAAAGTGTGCTTGGAGTATATATAGTATTACAAAACAGTTGGCTTGTAGTGGTTATTTTGAAGTACTGGTAATGGAATTCAGAAGGTAGTTTCAGGATGGTTTAAGAAGACTCAGCATGCTAAGGAGTTTGCATTCATTCTGCAGGCTACCAGTCACAATCGGACAGACTGCAGAAAGGTTTTGTTTGATCCAGATGCTGGGTGTTTTTTTGTTTGTTTATAAAAATTATCAGTATTTAAACATTGGAAGATCTCATCTAAAATTTAAGTTTCCTTTAACAAGTCACATTTTGGACTTCTCCTGAAAAGAAAACAAAAAGTGGACCATCTGTCAGCAGTGGGTCAGCATTCTTCTGTGGTAACACTTGGCTGGAACTGAGTAGCTGCTGTTCCAGGCAAAATTAGACATAGTGACTGGCTGGCTAGGGTGCAGGGAAGAAAAGAAGTTGTGGTGACTGCAAGAATATGAGTCAAAAGTCCAAGTGGAGGAATTGGTTGCAGAATTAAAGATGATAGTTTGAAAATGTGAGAGGGAATTAATGTAGAATTATGGTTTTGACTATAAGTTGCAAAGAGATGAGAGTTAAAGCCTGGTGGATGTTGAGTGTAGGGAGACAAAAAGGAGGAAGAAAAAAAACTGTGGAATGGTTGGGACTTGTTTAAAGAAATAGAAGCAAGAGTAGGGTATTTTTGTGTCATGGAGTATGAGAAAGAGGAGAGGTAAAAGCAGGGAAGTCCATAGAGGTCATGGACTCTAGAGATCTTTTGAGGCTTTTGAGGACTGAAAGGTCAGTTTTGACTCGGAACTCATCAGTGACTTTTAATAATGTGATATCAATGGAGAGATGAAGGTTAAAGCCCGAACAATGCATTTCAGAGGGAACTGATGGTAGGTAAACACGTGGATCTATTTGGCAGTGACCGAGGGAAGGGGGATAGGATGACAGCAAGTGAAGGTGCCTAGGTTGCCTGAAAGATAGTTTCCTCACTCTCTGTACTTTTCTCCTCTGCCCCACTTAGGAGGAACCCGTTTAAAGGCAGAAGTGAAAAAAAATCTTTGAAACAGGAATAAAGGGAATCTTGCTTATTTGAAACTATTCCTCATCAGCGGGGCTCCCTGTTTTTGCAAGTTGAACTTTGTGGCTTATTATTATATTTTTCTTTAGATACTAGAATGAAAGAAACAAGATGGAAGTTTAAAAGATGGAATGAAGAGCAGATCTATATGCTCCTTTTATAGACTATTCAGCTAGATAGCTAAACATTTGATTGTGAGATGGACAGGGAACTAGGGAGTGGGAAAGGGATGAAATAATATTTGTTCAGTTTTTTTAAGGTTGTCAGGCAACAGGTCAGTAAGTTGTTCAGAGGGGAAAACGTCTTTATCTTGTACTTGGGACTTTTCTATGAGTTTGACATTGTTTAAAAGGAAAACAAATAAGGAAAGTATAATGTGAATTTTATATAATCAGAAAGTAATTTAATTCCCCTACTCAATTTTGGTTCTTTGGCAGTTAGTTAGGCACATTCAACTGTTAAGGAAATTCAGTCTTTTTTAAAGCCTTATTAAGATTCTCTGAAATTCCCTTTATGTGTTTCAGAATTTAATATTTAATTCTTTTGAAGGTCAGACTTTTATCTAAGAATGAAAAATTTGCCCCCTTTTGACAAACTCTAAAGGAAATGATTTTATTCATAATATTGTGTACAGTATACAGTATAGGTATACCTAAACTTAAATATAACATTTTTTTCTAAATATAAACATTTTTAGAAGACACAGGGTCAGCATGAAAATGGCCCGTTGGAAATACAGTACTCATAAAAAAGCCAGTTGTATAAGATGGGCCTCACTTTGTTTCTGAAGGTCAGCAGCTTGGTGCTGTGCTGTATCTACTTTTCTCAGTGTGTCCTGCAACTGAGCCTTCAGGACAGAACAGAGCGAACTGCAGGAATGCTGCAATTACATAAGCAAGGGTGGATTGCCTGGCAGAGGGCATCATCAATGGACAATGGAAATTCAAGCAGCTGCTACCAGTCCACTAGCAGGTGTGGGGGAAAGCCAAGCTCTGAGCACCTCCTGGAAGGTGGCTTACTTTTCCTTTGTTCATGCCACATACTGTCATTGAGATAGAAATCCAGTGGTTTGAGTCATTTGCTCCCTCTCCTTCTCCTCTTCCTCCTTAAAAAATGAATAAATAAATAAAATTCCACTTTCATAAGCAAAAAGCAGCAACTTCATGGAGAGCATTACTTTTCATTGTGGTGTTACATTTGCAAGAGAAATATGTGGGAAACCAAGACATCTTTGTGGTTTTATATATATATATATATATATATATATATATATATATATATATATATATATATATATAAAATATATAAAATATATGTGTATTGTATATATAAAATATATATATAAACATATATATGTTGTAATAACTCCTTAAAATTATGGTTTTAGGAAGCATATCTGAATGTGGAACTCAAATTCTTTAAACTATGTATAGAGAATTTGTTATAAAAGGTTTAATTATATTTGCTTTCACTGGCATTGTGGCTAACTGATGTAAGAGACAGTGTATAACAAGGAGAGGTACTATTATATCTAGGGAAGTTGAAGTTGAAGTTTTGAGTTTTAAATAGTCCAGTTGACAGTCTTAGGATGGCTAAAAAAAAATCTTTCAAATTTTAAGTTAGTGTTTCATTTATGACTTTTAAGTATTAAATAGTGAATTTTACTAATTTAAAAAACAAATTGCTCTAAATGGGAGAAGAGCAACTAGTCTTGTAGGTGTTTGACTTAAGACTAATTCTGAACAATAGGCACACCTTCTCCTTAGGTTTTGAAGAATAACAACGTTTCCCAAGTATAATCTTTTAAGATTTCTCTCCTAAATGAATAAATCAATTGAGTAAAATAAACTTGGGAAGATTAAAAAAAAAAAGAAAGAATGCTAAGTATCTACTGTGGATATGACCAATATAGATATTTGCAAAAAAAAATTTAGTATGATAGATTGATTTAAAAAAAAATTAGTAGCTAAAGCAACATAAAATCAGTATTATTGACTACTAGAGGCCTGGTACACAAATTCCTGCATGGCCTGGAGAGAGATCGAGGGTGTTTGGCCAGTCCTGACACCTGGTCAAACTCCTGGTTGAACTTCCAGTTGAGGGTACAATTTGCATATTAGCCTTTTATTATATAGGACTGGAGAGAGGCCAGGTGAACAAAATTCGTGCACAGGGAATGGGGGTGTGTCTCTTAGTCCAGCCTGCACCCTCTCCAATCTGGGACCCCTCGAGGGATGTCCAGGTAGGATTGGGCCTACATGGGCAGTTGGACATCCCTCACAGTACAGGACTGCTGGCTCCAAACTGCTCGTCTGCCTGCCTGATTGCCCCTAACCATTCCCCTGCCAGCCTGATCAATGCCTAACTGCTCTCCTGCTGGCCCAATTACCCCTAACTGCCCTCTCCTATACGCTTGGTTGTCTCCAACTGCCCTCCCTTGCTGGCCCAGGTAACCCCTAACTGCCCTCCCTTGCTAGCCCGGTCACCTCTAAACGCCCTCCCCTGAAGGCCAGGTCCCCCCAACTGCCCTTCCCTGCAAGCCTGGTCCCTCCCAACTGCCCTCCTCTGCAGGCCTTGTCCCTTCCCTCATTGGCTGTGGGCACGGCCATTTTTACAGCAAAGTGACAGTTAATTTGCATGTTACTCTTTTATTAAATTAGCTAAATAACTGAGTGAAAGTATTGGAGCTTAGAAAAGTCTACTTTTGCACTAATCTCACTTTGCTTTCTCTACACTTTTTCTTATTTTTATAGAGCTTCATTGATTCTCAATTGAGAGTTAAGTGCTTTTCTAAACCACAAATGCCCTGATTCAGCCTTCCTCCCAACTCACCCCTTAATCAAGGCTGAATGAAGTTTGCCACTGTCACCAATGGAAATTTATCAGAGAGCCTATTTTGGTGAGTGAAGGGAAAAGTTGAGGATTGTTATTTGTGGAGAAAACAATCTGATTCTGATTTGTGGTTAAAATGTTGTCTCCACTCTTTGAACTGCACCTCGCCTCAAACTATCATATAAAGGATTGTAAAATCCAGGCTGCAATGGGTATTATTGTTCAGCAATATCTGTTCTCCTCTACTTTTGAGCGCAGGAGAAGAGAGAATCTCCCCATGTCAGCGTGGTTATGTGATTAGCTTAGCTATGGCCGTTAGAGGAGTAAGGCGTGTCAGTGTTTCAAAGCTTTGTGCCCTCTGGTCTGTCACAGTCATTGTGGAAGCACATGTAGCATAGCAGTAGTCTGGATTGCTGAGCAGAAATGCATAGATGACAGTGCTTTGGGAGTCCGCTTGAAACTGCAGTGAAGCGTAAATGAGAAATAAACATTTATTCTTTACGAGTTACAGAAAGTTTACGGTTATTGTAGCGAATCTAGCCCATCCTTATTGATTGAGAAGAAATAACAACTGTATAGGGTATTTAAAATGAGTAAGAGTGCTAATGTACAGAAGTAGTGTCTAGCATATAGTTAAAACAGCTAAGCTTTAGTTGTATTCATGCTATGAGCCAGGTACAGTGCTAAATGCTTTAATTTATTTAATATTTATAACAATCCTGTCAATTTAAAAAAATATATATTTTACTGATTTTTTACAGAGAGGAAGGGAGAGGGATAGAGAACTAGAAATATTGATGAGAGGAAAACATCGACCAGCTGCCTCCTGCACATCCCCCATCGGGGATGTGCCCGCAAGCAATGTACATGCCCTTGACCGGAATCGAACCTGGGATCTTTCAGTCCACAGACCTATGCTCTACCACTGAGCCAAACCGGTTTCGGCAACCCTGTCAATTTTTATTCTCATGTAATGGGAGTAAAAATAGAGATGCAAAGACTTTAGGCTACTTGCCTAAGCCTATAAAACTATTGAATAGCAGATCTGCTGAAACCGGTTTGGCTTAGTGGTAGAGCGTCGGTCTGCAGACTGAGGGGTCCCAGGTTCGATTCCAGTCAAGGGCATGTACATTGGTTGCAAACAAAAAAAACTATTGAGTAGCAGATCTAAGATATCAACTCAGGTAGCTTGAATTTAATATCTAGATTCTAAGTACTACATTATATTGTGCTATAACAATAGTCTCAGTTAATTTTAGTTTTTCTTTCTTTTCTTATCCTTTCTCCATTGAAACCACTAAAAGCAACTTTAAGAATCTAAATCTACATCTTTGTAACATTGGGAAATATCACTATTAAATATAGAATGAGATGCTTATGTTTTTTTTTTTTTGTTTTTTTGGGGGGGGAACTATATTTTATACATAAAATATTTAAAATATGTAAAATAGTCCCAAAGGGGAGGGGAGGGGAGGAAGGCTCTATACTAATTGTTACCTACTTTAGAAATATTTCCTGGACAGTAGAAAATAATATTATTCTCCTCTAGTAAAAATGCTCTGTTGGTCCTAACCAGTTTGGCTCAGTGGATGGAGCCTAGGCCTGCAAACTGAAGGGTCCCAGGTTTTATTCTGGTCAAGGGCATGTACCTTGGTTGCGGGCACATCCCCAGTAGGGGGTGTGCAGGAGGCAGCTGATCAATGTTTCTCTCGTTGATGTTTCTAGCTCTCTATCCATCTCCCTTTCTCTCTTGGGGGATGTCGGACTGCCAGTTTAGGCCCAATCCTGCAGGCATCCCTTAAGATTGGACCTAAACTGGCAGTGAGACATCCCTCTCGAAAACCTGGACTGCTGCCGAAGCCCGTTTGGCTCAGTGGTAGAGTGTCGGTCTGCAGACTGAAAGGTCCCAGGTTTGATTCCGGTCAAGGGCATGTACATTGGTTGCGGGCACATCCCCAGTAGGGGGTGTGCAAGAGGCAGCTGGTCGATGTTTCTCTCTCATTGACGTTTCTAGCTCTCTATCTCTCCCCCTTCCTCTTTGTAAAAAATCAATAAAATATATTAAAAAAGAAAAAAAAAGAAAAAAAAAAAAGAAAACCTGGACTGCTGGCTCCTAACCACTCTCTTGCCTGCCTACCTGATCATCCCTAACCACTTGCCTGCCTGCTTCATCTCCCCTAACCTCTCACCTGCCTGCCTGATTGCCCCTAACTGCTTGCATGCCTGCCTGATCACCCCTCACTGCCTCTGCCTGCTTGCCTGATTGCCCCTAACCATTTGCTGCCTACTTGATTGCCCTAACCACTCTGTATTCCTGCCTGACTACCCCTAACCCCTGTTGCCCCAGCTTCATTCTGAAAGAAGTCAGGAAGGTCATTCACCTGTCTGGTCTAATTATCATATTATGCTTTTATTATTATAGATGTGTCTTCCACTCTCCTCTCATTTTACAGGGATATATCTTCATTGTTTTCCCAGAGTCAACTTGCACATGTCTTCTTGACAAATACCTCTTTCTTAAAAAGCACATCACCTTGAATCTTATTTCCCTTTA